TAATGTTATGTTATTTTATTAACATAGTATATATATATATATAATATTTTTTTATTTAATTATTATGCCAATCCAACCCTGTTTGATTATGTTAACAGTAAATTATTGACCTTTTTAAATTAAAATTCAGTCACATTGTTACAAGATATTTTATTTTTGCATGCTGTAGCCTAGTCCTAGTGCTGTTTAAGAACTGTTTTAGTCCCTATCAATCAATGTGTGGTTCTGGCCAAAAGAAAAAAAAATCAATGTGTGGTTGACAGACATCCATGCTGGGAGTTACTGGAGTTACTATGGATTATGGATTCCGAGCTTCTCTACTACTGCTAGTGCAACATGAAGAAGCACCGCTCAGGAAAAAATAAAAGCTGAAACGCAACCCCAGGCGTTCCAATAAATACTCAAAGCTCAAATTGCAGTGTCATCTAACTGGTTCCAGTTAAGCAACTTCCTCCCACGGTTCTGCATTTAACTCCCTTCCTGTATTTATATATTACTCTCCAGTCCCACAGTCGCGAGCATTTAAGAAGGTTCATGTCGTTTTAAATTTGGAAAAGCCATTAGTAATAGTAATAATGTTTAGTGGTAATTCAACTTTCAAGAATCCATAAAGAAAATTTTGTTGAAAAGATTTGTCTGTACTAACCAATTCCCATTTGATTAAAGTTCTCATCTCACCGGTGAGGATCTGCTCAGTATAACCCGAATCGTCCCGGAATCGCGAGATTCCAACTCAAATTTTAGCAGTATTCAAAACGAACAGAAACACAGTTGATTCAGTCAAGTTAAAAATAAAGTCCAGATCTCAAATACAGCTCTACTAGATCAGCCTAATACCTAATTTCCCATTCAAGAGAGAAAAAAGGTTTCAAAATGGAGGGAAAATAAAAGAGCCTCCCTGCTTACTGAGACAGGGCTCAAAGAACGCACAATCTTTCTTCCAGTCGCAGGAAAAGGCAACGACCCCTTTGGCCTTGGCGCTGCATGAGATGGATGAATATGGCGGGATTGATACAACAAGCAATAGACCCTCCAGAGATGATGTCCGCTATAATAGCTTTTGATGCTGCTTTCTGTTCTGTCCTGGACTCTCTCTGGTTGTCTCAAAAAAATCAGAGAGGGAACTTCTCTGACAAACTTGAGAAGAAAGAATATCTCTAAATCTTTCAAAGGTGAAGAGATGAAATAATATGGATAAAGAAAGCTGGGAACGGAGACATGGTGGTGGACGCGAAGAAGGTATGCTGAGAGAGGGATGACATGACTAACGGTAAGAACGAAGAATGGATCCACAAAAAGTGCAAACGATGGCTCTCCAAGATTTCCAATAAAAAGGGACGTGACAGAATCTAGTGGCCGTCTTCATATCTGCCACGCTCGCTCCGCCGCCGCATCGCGAACAAATCCCGGCGGCGGGCTTGCTCCTCTGCACTTGCCTTGTTTGGTCCACCAGGAAACAGAAGCAGACCATTCTTTCTCTGAACACGATTATTTGATAGGGGTTTAGAGTTGTCTATACAGAGTACGTATATATACTGATACACACACACGCATGTATATATACGGAGGGAGTATATATTTCGGTGGGGGCTAAAACCGGGGGCTTGTCGAACGTCAAGTTGCCGCTTATATCAGCCGCTGACAAATAGTAGAATGGTGAAATGAGAAGTGGATGCGAATAAGATATAAATATGATGATGATGATGATGATGAATAACAGCCTAGTGCTGCTTGTAATGTTAAACATCCATTTTAAAAAAAAAAATTATGTATTTTGTTGACCCGTTTACGTTTATATCTATTCCCTTTAATTTTTTTAAAAAAATTGTATTTAATTTCTATAAAAAATTTATGCGTGTCAGTGTGTGAGTGCGTAATTGTAACAGATTTTGACCATTTTTTTAAAAAAGACTAGCCTTCCTTTTTACATTCTAAAAAGCAACTGTTTGAATTTAATTTAAAAGCAAAAATTGCTTAACCAAACGTGAATCCAATAAAATAAAACAGACTAATCGTTGCATATGACTGTGTAGCCGGGACGTAATGAATTTACGGTTGGTAGTTGGTCCGTCATCGTTGATTTTAAGCATTCTTTTTGGACGGTGAGTCCTCTAAAATTGTTTTATCCAGAACTTGAAGTGGTGGCTATTAAAAAATTAATCTTTTAGTTCTTTAATTTTAACTTATTTGTAACTCAATCCTTCAACTATAACTCACTGTAACTCAGTCTCTCAACTTTTAATTTACCTATAACTCGGTCCTTATTTTTTAATTTTTTTAAAATTTTTTTTATCAAATAAGAGGGATAAAAAAATATTCATATATTATTTTAAAATACCTTCTTCTTATTCATTAATGTGAGATATAAGCTAATATGAAAAAAAAATTAACAAAGATTGAGGGACTAATTTGTAAGTAATTTAAAAGTTGAGGGACTGAGTCATAGGCGAGTTATAGTTGAGGGACTGAGTTACAATGAGTCATAATTGAGGGATTAAGTTACAAATGACTTAAAATTAAAGGATTAAAAGATTAATTTTTCTTTTAAAAAATGAAATACACTAGGAAAAGGTTGTTATCCTCTACAATTAAAAAAAGTTAAAGAGAATAGAAAGAAAGAAATTAAAGAAAAAGAAAAATAATCTCGTCTTGAAAAACTTCATAAAATTTCAGTGACTGTTAAGAAGTCCTTTGTCTTTTATACATATTTGATTATTTGTCATCACGGAACTCCAAGTAAGAATTTAAAGCCAATGAAAATCGATTATCAATGACAGACCACATGCAATTGAAAGGGGCGCATGTCCTCTTTCAATTGGAAAAAATTAGACGTAATAGGGTAAAGGTATTTATATTTTGCACCATTTCATTTTATATTTTGCATCTTTTTATTTGTAATATTTAAATTTTAAATTCATTTTATGTTACTTTTAACGCGGATTCAATTTTGAACTTAAAGCCCGGTAAATTTTATCCCACAGTTTTAATTCCGCCTTGACTAAATCTCCCGATCTCGCTTTGTTCCGTCTCGCGCTTGGCTTGCTTTGTCTTGCTCTGCTCTGTCTTTCGAGAATTGAAGCAAGGAAAAGAAAAGAGAAGAGGACGACGGAAACAGGAGAGCAGGAAGGGCAAAGACCAAAAATATAAAAAAAAAAAAAAGTAAAAGCTTTCTTTTCTTCACATACAAAAAAGTTGCATCAGGTAATGCCATTCTTCAAGCAAATGTATTATTTTAATGACATTAAAAATTATTTTTCTATAATTATGACATTAAAAACTAATATTATATTTAACTTATATGAGTTTGTCTTCAAATGCTTATTTTTTTCACTTTTAAATTTTAAGTAATAAATTTAGTTTTTTAGCCATTCTCTTAATCTTGAGTATATTATAATTGAGTAATTACAAATTGTATAAGTTTTGAATAGAAAATGAGAGATTTTTCAAAAAGAAATTATTATCACATGAACAAGAACAATCGTCTTCATCAAAGCCTTGTGAATTGAGTTTTCAACCACACCAACAAATTGAAATAAACTAGCAAGATTTACAATCTGATTCAAGATAAAAAATTAAAATTTCATCATACTATTCTAATGACCAAGAAAAGGTACGAGTTGCGTAAAGGATCATATCAACCTATCCAATATAATTTTGACAAAGAAAATTTGAAAATTCTAAGAGAAATTTTTATATTAAAAAAGATGTATTTAAAAGCATTGACAATGAACTGATCATTCAATGATTCCAAACATGAAACCGTCTAGAAAAAATTTATAAGGTATGTAATTATTAAATAATTTTTTATTATTATTTTTTCAATTATTAATATATAAATGAATTTGTCTCCCTTGGCCAAATATCCTAACTTTTTCAACATCGATTACACCAAACCAAACCAAACTGGCATGAACCTATCAAAACTAATTATAAATAAAATTTGGTTTAGTTTTTTTTTTTGACAAAACCTATTAGTTTGGCTTAGTTCATATTTTTATTTTTGATAACTTAAATTAAGCTGAACCAAGCTTTATTATATATGGGAAAAATACAATCTTTGATCTTTATAGTTTCATCAGGTTTTATTTTTAGTTCCTGTAATTTTTTTAATATTTTCAATTTTTATAATTTTAAACAATTTTTATAATTTTAAAAAGATTATGTGACTTTTTTTCAGGTCCTTATAGTTTTAAATTTTTATATGGTTTTAGTCCCTGTAGTGACTAAAAATACTGAAAAAAAAAATTATAGAAACTCAAAGCAAAACGTGATGAATTGGGACCAAATATTATGTTTTCCCTTACGCCTAAGTCTTTTGCCCTTTCTAAGTTTAGTTATTTGGAAATCTTTAGTAAAAATATGTTATAATTAACTAAATATTATCTGCAATTGTTTATGATAATTTTTCAATTTCATAATCAAGTATTTTAGTGATAATATATTAATTTTTAATACTTAAAAAATTCTAATTAATTGTTAAAAGAAATTCTTCCGTGCTCAAGAGATTTTTCACTAAAAAGAGTAATTAATAGTAAAAAAATTAGTGAAGATGAATACATCTTGATGATTATAAAAAATATCATATAAAAAAATTTTAAACTTGATTTAAACTTAAATCAAATCAAATCAAACATAACGATTTAGATGAAAAAACTGAATGGATTTCAACCTATAATGAATCAATTGATATAGTGTTTCTTCAAAACTAAAGCTGTGAAAACCCTTAATTTGTCTCCAAGTAAAAAATGAGGGCAACTTCCAATTTTGGATCGGAAGGGGGAAGAACGAATGGGGAAAAAAAACCTGAAAGTTCATTTTCATTAATCTTAAAAATGATTTCACAATAATATCTGATTTCTAATTAACTTATATATATATATATATATATATATATTACTGCTACCTTTCGGAAGTTCATTACCAATTATTTACACAAGTAAACATTGCATAATATACATAGTTCTTGATCGTAGTAAGCAACGATCAAATATTGAGTGAGAATAGTACAAGTACAAAAATTGAAGGTAAACAATAACCTATGAAACACGTGATGAATAGAGAGATGAGACAAGGTTGATTTAAATGCATCACTAGAATTTCTACCTTAATCATGCTGGTCAAACTTAATTCTACTCCAAAGCCTAAGAGAACGCATCCAAAGGAAAGATTAAGAAAGCAGGGTGAAATCAGCAGCAAGTCTTTGGTTCTGAAAGTGCCTGGAGTTTGTCATAGAGCCGCCATGACGGTGCTCCTCGCGGCCTCACGCCTAGCCTCCGCAGCCTTGCCGCTTCCACGGAAGTACATTAATACTTGCTGCCAATATCAATGGCGAGCCGTCAAATATGGAAATCTCTCAAGAGAATAATGCCTTAGCTAAAGGAGAGAAATGAAAACCTGAATAACGTAGATGCTCAGCATAGACTCAGCACAGAACAACGCAAACCCCACAAAGTATAATATCTGCAAGTACGGAAGAAATAATGCATAATATCCTCCGTTAAATGCTGCCTGTTGACAAGGCACTGACAATGTTAGAAGTACCGTGTGTGATATTGGAACTTACCCCAAGCATGTGACGATCGCCTATAAAATATAGGGCTGGAAAAAATCCTCTGTTCATAGCATAACATCATACATGGCGCATATTAGTTCACGCAGGTACGGAAGCAGAAGGCAATGATTTGATGATGATCATTATCATACAAGCAACATAAGATTGTTAAGTCGATAATGTAACTAATGAATAAATTCTATGTGGAAAACTTACGTGAGAGAATGTCCTGCAAGGACAAATGGAGGAGCAACTGAAGCGTAGATGCAGAAACAGATGTGGACCTGCTTGGAGAAAAAGAGTGGAACATGAGATGAGAAAAACTCTAGTGCAGGTGCGGAATGAATATGCTGCGGAGGAAGAAAATATATGAACTTGCCATGTAACTTAGGAAAAACCAGCCAAACTTCAGAGCACTGTCCGTCCTGTGATTGAAGATGGGAATACAATTATCAAGCAGAAGCATACCAAAAGGAAGAAGAAAAATTCTAAATAGATGACAGCCGGGGAAAAAAAAAATGAAGGACTCCATCAGATTGAGCACTACCTCATGGCACGATAAAGAGGGCGATACCATAATACGTAGGCTCCTGGAACGCCACAAATGACGTAGATGATAGCGAGGAACAATATTGCAGGACCTACAGGTTAAGAAGACGAGTCCTTCTAAGGGTAGCAAGACCAAAATTAATGAATAATTAATGGGCCAAAATCTAGTTGCAAAACCAACCTTGGCCATTGAAACAGCCCACAAGCATTGTGAAGAGGTTCCACAGAAGGCATAAAACCAAACCTGTACATTATTTGAAGATGAAATGGTATCGTATCATTTTCTATGCCGTAATTTAAACACAGCTGGATTAAGACAAAACAATTTAGTACACAGAATACAAAACAACAACATACCTAAAAGTGTTGCGAATGCAACATACTGCATCCTCTGAAGATGTATTGGTATATCATTTGCGATGTCGTGATGAATGATAGGGAGGCAAGATGGCCAATTTTTTACCTCTAAAGTTATTCCAGCTGCCAAAAAGGGAAATAAGGTTTAAATTACCAAACGAAACCCATTATAGTGGTTGGTCTTCATAGCAATAGAGGAAATAGCGTACCCCGCGCTATAGCATCTTCCTTTCGTTTTATTTCCTGCAAAACATCATGGGAGAATGAAGTCCCTATTTAAAACATTTAATGTCTGCACGATGACTAGGTTAACTTAACTGAAGAAACGTGGTATCACCAAAATTCAAATTGCAGTTCATCAACGCTTCAAACTAAAAATTCAATACAAGGAACCACCTTTTGCTAGTATGAAATATTAAAGAAGAAAATTGACAACAGCCCAAGTCTTTTCAAATCAGCGAGAACTGCTGCTACTAAACAGGCCTCTGATATTGAACTTAAACTTAGTATTAGCAACATCTTTACAAAATGCAGCGGCATATTAACAATCTAAAGTATTGAGCACAACAAGATTGGCTCCTAATTTCTTGCAAAAGCAAGCCGAATTTCAGGTTATCAATGAAACAAGATATCAGGATAAGTCACCTGTTCCCTCCTAGCCAGTTCAGCCTCTCTGGCTTTAAGCTCCGCTTCCTTTGCTTTGAGGTCCTGACAAAGAAGGACAGAGTAAATTTCTTACCAAGAAATACACTAAGGAAGCAAAATTTTGACATTCAATTCAACACTTGGACAATCCAGTCAACCTTTGAGATGTCAAAAGAGGAATATCAATAATGGTACCAACATCATAAGGCTCAAGAGGAAATAGTGAGAACTATGAGATTGTGCGTAAAAGCAACAATTTTTCAAAATCAAATTATGCATGAATAATGCATGATCGTTTTCATTTTATGCTTGCTTACAGATCATATAAACTTTTATCAGAGGCTCAAAAAGAAATCTATCATGACCTTTACGTAATCGTTCGTTTTTGGGATGAAATGGTCGAATTAAAGTCTCTGGAGAATGAATACGTGGTCAGAAATTCAATCCTTGCCATATGATGGCTCTGTACCTCTGACAATATCAAGATCAGTTGAAAACGATTAAAAAATTTAGGATCTTGACCCAATTGAAGAGGAACAATAACCATGCAATGCCTTTTGGTACAAAAACCGCACTCTGAAAAAAAGCTCTCTGTTTATTCTTCGTTTGCTGTCTTACAAGTGAAAGGGAACAGCTATTTATACTAAGCCTTAGGGAACAAAGACTTAAATGTTAGGAGGGAGTTTCAACTGTTTCATGAGCTGTTTCATGTTTTCATTAGGCTGGGAAAGGTTACAGAGAGTTATGGAGCATTTAAGGTCATCAATGGAGACGTTTTAGACTTCAGAGAGTTACATACGTTTACGTTTTCAGGCTTCTATTTCAACCCCCAAGCGGAACTCGTCCTTGAGTCAAATTCAGCCTCGTCATCGAAGCAGGTTGACAACTTAGCAAGGTTGAAAGTAGTAAACACTCCATAAGCACTAGGCAATTTTACTTTGTAAGTATTGTTGTTGATCTTTTGTACAATCTTAAATGGGCAATCAACTCTTAGGGACAGCTTGGCAATCCTCAGTTTGACCGTCTGTCTGGAGATGACTAGCATTGTTAAATTGGAGTTTAGTTCTCATCTTCTTTCATAGTGTCTATTAAAAGTGGATGAAAAACTTAATATCTCAATCAAAAGTGATAGTCTTGGGAATGCCGTGGAGATGAACAATCGCTTTAAAGTATAAATTTGCTAGTTGAACAGCATCATTAGTCTTCTGACATGGAATGAAGTGGGCTATCTTTGAGAATCGATCCACAACTATCGTGACAAAATCTTTATGTCTTTGAGTTCGTAGTAAACCAAGAATAAAATCTATGCTCACATCTTCCCATAGTACTTCTGGAACTGGTAATGGCATGTACAATCCTATATTTTGATCCTTGGCCTTAGCTAAATGACATGTCCTACATCTTTGTATATGTCGATTGACATCTCGTGCAAGCCTCAGCCAATAAAAATTCTTCTTGACTAGATCAACTATTTTGTCTCAACCAAAATGATTAGCTAGTCCTCTGTCGCGAGTGTCCCAAATTATAACCTCTTGCAAGGAACCTTAGAGAATGCATAAGGCTTTGCCTTGAAATAAAAATCCATTATATCTGTAAAACTGGCTTAGGAGCCAAGGGGGACAGAGAGAACACTCTCACTTTGATAAAAAATTCTGTTATTCTTTCGTGATTTTGAATACAATGGAAAGATTAATGCTATTTATACTAGTCTCAAGTATGCAAGAAATTAATGCTAATAAAAAGATTATGAAATAACTTAATTCTAAATGGAGAGAATTATGAGATTTAAAAGCACTTATTGGGAGCTTATGAAAATTATAAATACTTATTATAATTTATGAATAAGAAAGTTATGAAGACAGTAAGGGGATGGAGCACTTAATTCTGTCTCATTCTCTTCGAGTTGAACATGACTCACCTAAGAGTCAAATTCAGCATCATCACTGAAATACAAAATTGATGAACAACTTTAAATTGCAGAGACTCCACAGACATAAAGAAACTCTACTTTCTTTGAATAGGCTGATGTGTCACTGATTGAACACTTTAGGCTGACAAGTTATTGATATGATTGTCTTCAACATCTATCAGACATGTGTGAATAATCCTTAGTCCTTTGGTTTTTAGACCTTCCTAGCATAATGGTAACATTTGTTTTACTTGAAACTAACCAAAAATGGGTGTTCAACAGTGGCAATGGCAAATTGACTTCTATTGTAACAGTCACACCCCCCCGAGCCCACTGCTGCGAGTGGTGGACTGGGCCGTGCCACCTCACGGCAACCTAGCCGGCTTTCCCCATGGTAGTTCATGGGTTATTCCCCGCACCCACTGCGCTAAGGGAGCCTTCCCAGGTTCGATCCCGCAACCTCTCCTACATAGCGAAGTTGGGGCTGAACCTGGTACCATTGAGTCAAGTTGACTCAATGGTACCAGGTTCAGCCCCAACTTCGCTATGTAGGAGAGGTTGCGGGATCGAACCTGGGAAGGCTCCCTTAGCGCAGTGGGTGCGGGGAATAACCCATGAACTACCATGGGGAAAGCCGGCTGGGTTGCCGTGAGGTGGTTGCGGCCCAGTCCACCACTCGCAGCAGTGGGCTCGGGGGGGGTGTGACTGTTACATAAAAGGCGCCTTTTATGTAACAGTCACACCCCCCCCGAGCCCACTGCTGCGAGTGGTGGACTGGGCCGCAACCACCTCACGGCAACCCAGCCGGCTTTCCCCATGGTAGTTCATGGGTTATTCCCCGCACCCACTGCGCTAAGGGAGCCTTCCCAGGTTCGATCCCGCAACCTCTCCTACATAGCGAAGTTGGGGCTGAACCTGGTACCATTGAGTAACTCAATGGTACCAGGTTCAGCCCCAACTTCGCTATGTAGGAGAGGTTGCGGGATCGAACCTGGGAAGGCTCCCTTAGCGCAGTGGGTGCGGGGAATAACCCATGAACTACCATGGGGAAAGCCGGCTGGGTTGCCGTGAGGTGGTTGCGGCCCAGTCCACCACTCGCAGCAGTGGGCTTGGGGGGGTGTGACTGTTACATCTATAACCTCACTTTTTCAGGCCAAACTCATACCTCCTTGTCTCTTAATCACTCCCCATTGGACTTGAGACCCTTCTTTGATACCAAACTAGCTCAGGAGTTAAGGGGGACAAAGGGAACACTCTTACTTTGATAAAAAATTATATTATTTTTTCACAATTCCAAATACAATGTAATGAGGGCTATTTATACTAGTCTCGAGTAGGCAAAAAATTAATACTAACAGAAAGGTTATGGAATATGATTCTAAATGGAGAGAGTTACAGGGTTTAAACGTACTTAAAAGTGCTTATTGGAAGCTTATGAAAGTTACAAACACATTATAATTTATGGATAGAAAAGTTATGGTGATAGTAAGGGTTATGGAGATAGGACATCCAATTCTATCTCACTTTTGAACAAGGGCAAACAGGGGTTCTTGTACTGACATTATATGCTTACTTTGTTTGTCAAAAATATGATGGATATAAAT